AGCCCAACTCCCTCAGCCTGTCCTCATAGCAGAGGTGCTCCAGCCCTCGGATCATTTTTGTGGCCCTCCTCTGGACCTGCTCCCACACTTCCATGTCCTTCTTGTGCTGAGGGCTCCAGAGCTGGACGCAGTACTCCAGGTGAGGCCTCACCAGAGCAGAGTAGAGGGGCAGAATCACATCCCTCGACCTGCTGGCCATGCTTCTTTTGATACAGCCCAGAGTACGGTTGGCACCTAATCCTGGACGCGACTGCACTCCTCATCTGCTTACACTTTAACCTCAGGTTTCCCTGCAAACCTGATGTCCCGGTTCTGGCCACGTGCAGAAACAGTTGGGTTTCGGTCATGTTTGGGAGGCCCATACCCATGTCAGGCTGAGATCTAGAAACCAGGAGACAGAACAGCCAACTTCAGCCGCAGCAGGTTTAACTCCTGACTGTGGATGGCCAGGTTCAAAGCTGCGTTTCTACTTTGCACCAAGCAGTGACAAAGCCTCTTTCCACTGATCACAGTGAGAGCCAGCCAGGGAGACCAGGCTTCTGGTGCTAAAGCGAGTCTTTGAGAACAGCCCCAGATGAGCTCCTCTACCCGCTTCCCCAAGGGCCTCAGTTCAGTAGTTATTTCCTGAACACTGCCCCTGCCAGACTCCATTTAAATCCAGCGGGAACCGCTTGAAAGCACCAGGAGGTGGGTTTCTGCCATCCCTCCCACCCCTTTGACACAACGGTGCCATGGAGAGAGTGCTCACACAACCCCGCACCACCCTCATCCCCCCGACCTTGCTGTGACGGTAATAAGGGGAAGGGGAGCACTCTGACATTGTCTGGCCAGAGGAATGTACTTAAAGGCGGCTCTGCTTCACGTACCTGATTTATAACAAGGGTCAGAATAATTCCCAAGCAGCTCCCGCATCGGGGAGCAAACTAATTCCTTTCCTCTCTCCTTGGCTGCGCAGCCTGGAGCCCAGCTGCACCTGAGGTTCCAGCTCACAGTCTATATTCTGCATCATAAAAGATACAAGAGAGAAATCTAAACTAGAGAAGTAATAACCTGTAAACTAATAAACCAACCCAGCACTTTGATAGCTAGGCACTCCCAAGAGCAGGGATTATTAATGGATGTCCTGGAACACTGTTTGTCTGGTTTTCGAGAGAAGTGGGAAACATTTCTGATGCTCTGTGGTTCTTACATTTGCTCTATAAAATCAGTTCAGATAAATGCAAAGATTATTATAAAAAGCAGCCTCCTTCCAGTCTACACACACAGAGGCACTTAAGCAATTTAAAAAGAAGACTAGTAAGAAACTGCTTAAATAAATAATAATAAAGGTATAAAGCTGCAATATTATGGGTAGTTTTTCTTGTCAAAGTATGGGGCTGCACAGTCATTGATTTTCTCTGGTAATTGAGATAGTGACATGCACGACTTATGTTTCTTCAGCAGTGAGTGCATGGGAGTGGAAGAAGGGATCTTGAAATCCTGCAGAATCTCCAGCCGAGGATTTGAGGGCTCTGCACTGCTGTCTGTCTCAATCTTTATTTCCCCCGGACCATAAAATGGAGTATATTAATAATCTCTTATGTCAAAAGACAGTTTATGAAGCTAAATGTAATAACGTTTGCAATATGATTAGGGATCTTTGGAGGAAAAGTGCTATAGATTACGGGAGTGTAAGTACGGATACACATCCTTCTCAGCCAGAACATGCTGGGAAGCGGGTGGCAGGCAGACAGACCCCTCAGGAAAGATCCCGTTACCTGCCTCGGTATGGGTATGATGTGTATTCTCAAATCTCCATCCCCTGCCTCGGTCACATGGACAATAGGAGCCTTCTCCATAGTTATTTTTTTCTTTTTTTAATGTATTTACTTTCAGTGATGAAGATTCGGTGCTCAGTTACCTCCTGCCATCTGCTTCTCGAGTTTGCCATATCCTAGCTCAGCTCCATGCCAAAATGAGATATCAAATTGACTGAAACTGTTAAAGATAACTGTTTCATCCCAAACTAATGAAAAACAGTGAAGTACAATGTTTCCATGTAAATCTGAACTAGAGTGGACCCTCTTTGTCCCTCTGTCATGTAAACAATAAAATGGAGGCTGGCAAGGATGGCAGGAAGAATCCGGTCCTTTGTGTTTCCTGAAGTAAAAGTATTCTCTGGAGAAGGCAGAGCAGGAATAAACTTCTTTATGAGTCAGGAGGCTTTACTGACAAGAGCTGCTATTATCTTCGTCAAACAGGCAAAGCCTCGAGTGATTGTGGTAAGCAAGAAAGAGGAATGTTGGTTTTTCGCAGAGCTGGAAAACAGACTATTTGCCAGATTGCAAGGAGTGCCGAAAAGGTATCAATCCTCTCCGTTTGAATTAACCACAAGAACAACCTGCTGAATGAAAAGCTTTTCGGTGGACCTCTGCTGCTCTCTAATGGCACCTTAAAGGAAACTCAGCACAAAGTTTACATGCTCTTGCTAGAATTGTAGTCAAGTTTTGTTAAAACTTTTAATGCAAAACAAGCAAACAAAAAAATCGTGAGGCCCTTAAAAGATGTTACCTGAAGAGACAACCCACAACTCAGGTAGCTATTGCTGCAGCCACAGCCGGGACATTTTCTGTGTGGTGGGAATGACGGCAAAGGAGAGCTAACACATGGAAATGAAGGTTTGGAGCGTATTTTGGACGCAGCAATGGCAGAAGTCTGGAAGGGTGCAAACCTCTGGGAAATCCTGGTTTTCAGGGCTTTGTATAAACTTGTTTACAAAATGATTGTTCATGAGTACGAGTATTCCAAAGAAAAAAATAGCACTGAATTAAATGTATGCAATTAACAGAAACTAATGCTTGCGCATATTGCTCATAGAATCATAGAATGTTCTGGGTTGGAAGGGACCTTCAGAGGTCAGCTAGTCCAAGGTCCCTGTAGTGGGCAGGGACACCTTTAACTAAACTAGGTCAGGTTGCTCAGAGCCCCATCCAACCTGGTCTTATCATAGAATCATAGAATCATAGAATCATAGAATCATAGAATCATAGAATGTTTGGGGCTGGAAGGGACCCCTAGAGGTCATCTAGTCCAACCCCCCTGCAGGAGCAGGGACACTGCTAACCAGATCAGGTTGCTCACAGCCCCATCCAACCTGCCCTTCAATGCTTCCAGGGATGGGGCCTCCACTACCTCTCTGGGCAACCTGTTGCAGTGTTTCATCACCCTCAGTGTAAAGAATTTCTTCCTTATATCTAGTCTAAACCTACCCTGGTTTAGTTTAAGCCATTACCCCTTGTCCTGTCACAGCTGGCCCTACTAAAAAGATTTTCCCCATCTTTCCTATAGGCCCCCTTTAGGTACTGAAAGGCCACAATCAGGTCTCCCCACAGCCTTCTCTTCTCCAAGCTGAACAACCCCAACTCCCTCAGCCTGTCCTCATAGCAGAGGTGCTCCAGCCCTCGGATCATTTTTGTGGCCCTCCTCTGGACCCACTCCAACACTTCCATGTACTTCTTGTGCTGAGGGCTCCAGAGCTGGACACAGTACTCTAGGTGAGGTCTCACCAGAGCAGAGCAGAGGGGCAGAATCCCCTCCCTCGACCTGCTGGCCACGCTTCTCCCGATGCAGCCCAGAGTACGGTTGGCCTTCTGGGCTG